CGTCATGCGTCGGCAAACGTCTCGCCTGAGGTGCGAGGGCAGGGGCGGCCTTGGCTGTCACAGCGCGCAGCAGCAGTCAGTCCTCCCCAGGACACCGGAGGTGCTGCCTGACGGTGTGGGTTGCCCTGCTGCAGAATGGTAACCTCCCTTTGGAAGGGCTCGCCTGTAAATCCCAGGTTTTGCCAGCACATCCCAGGTCGTGCTGAGGTGAGTCAGAAACCCTGAGGAGATAGGCAAGAACTTGCATGCCTGTCTATCAAAACAGCCGAACATGGAAGAGATGTGCACACAAAAAGTATCTCGGATCTTTGCGGATCTCAAAGGCGCAGTAAAGGAGGGCGGGAAAATGGCCGCCTTTCATCTCGGGCCTTTTTCAAAGGGAACTGGCAGATCCATAGTGAATCCTGCCTGAGGAGTTGCAGGTTGGTGGTTAAGGAGAATGTATCCGGCTTGCTCTGGTCCTGTGGGCCCAGACGGCTGTGGTGTGCAGAGGGTTTTGGTTGATGTACACGTTAAATTCTCCAGAATGATGCCCGGGCAAGACAAAGCCCCACCCCGTCTGTGTTGTTTCCTTCTGGGTCCCAGGGTCACCTTGCTCATGCTGCTGTGGTTTGGGCACTTGCACACTAGCTCAGCACAGAATTTTTGCTCCCTGGTGAGTGTTTTGATGGTTTGGTCATTGTTGTAAAGCATCTTCGTAAAGACCAAGCACTGTTTGGATCCTAGGAAATAAATTTTGCAAGATTTGTAGCCGTTGTAACTCTGATACGTTCGACATATATTCAATCCAGTTGCCATTTTAAGTGGGTGGAAACAAGACTTCCCATTGTTTTCCATGGGAGACGAATTGCAGAATAATTTAAGGAGCATTTTCTGGGATGTTTCTCACATTTTGGATTTTGGGATGGCAGCATGAATGATTGATTGTGCAAGGACTTCACATGATAAATCATTTACAACCAGTAGAGTTTTCTCATGCTTATTTTAGGGAGGACCTGACGTGTGAAAACAAATGACCGCTCTCCATAACACTGGCAGCAGGTAACTTTTTTGTGGTGTGTACCCAACAAGTATGGTGCCTCTGCTATGTCTGTAATTTGATGTAAAAGTTAGGAATGAACTGATGCCTTATGGAAACTCCTGCTTGCTCTGGGTGCCCGATGCTGAGCCCTGCTTTGTTCAGTTGCTGTTGCTGTAATGGAGACTTCCATTCTGTAATGGTATCCTGGGGTGCATTAAGAAGAGTGTGGCCAGCAGGTGGAGGGAGGTTCTCCTCCCCCTCTACACTGCCCTAGGGAGACCCCATCTGGAGTACTGTGTCCAGTTGTGGGCTCCCCAGTTCAAGAAAGATAAGGAGCTACTGGAGAGAGTCTGGCGGAGGGCTACAAAGATGATGAGGGCCTGGAGCAGCTCTCCTAAGAGGAGAGGCTGAGGGAGCTGGGCTTGTTTAGCCTGAAGAA